GTGTGTTTGTTTGTTTGTTTGTTTGATTAAGAAAGCATAGAAACCAATTTATTGATTTATTGATTAACGCCAGTCTGATGGGCAGTCAATGTGTGTAACTAGTTTCAAATTAGCCTCCCCCCCCCCTTTTTTTTTTTTTTTTTAATAAATACAATTGTGATACTTCTTTTATTTAGAATCTCTTTTTGTTGACTTCAAAAATATTGATAATTTCTTTGAGGATTATAGATAGTTGTTAATTGCACCCAGGAAATCTGAGGAAAAAGAATCCTTAAGGTCCTGTTATTGCTGGCTCCCCTCAGCCCCCAGATTTCACACCAAAGTGACACGATTAGGCCCAAATAGCTGTGCTTATGGCCAGACTAGTTGAATTACGCTTTAACCCACTAGCATCGGTATATTTTGAATCCGAAAATAATACTTACCAGGTGGCTACAAAATTGGTGCGTGGGGCTGGCCCGGAATCTGTCTGCACGCCGGCTTCAGCCCGTGACAGAATTGAAGCACAAACCAATCCATCACACCGGCTTCGGCCCGTGACAGAATCGGAACACAAACCAATCCGTCACACCGGCGGGACGCCCAGCATTTATTTATTTATTTATTTATTTTTATTTTATTTTTTTTATTATTTATTTATTTATTTTTTTTTTTTTTTTCGGGTGTCATATGTGGGACACCTGTTGTAAATGGGTTAATATACCTGTGGTGGAGATTTATTGGTATTTGTGTGTGTGTGTGTGTCTCATATGTGGGACACCCGTTGTAAATAGGTGTACCACATGGTGGAGATTTATTGGTATTTGCTGGTGCAGGGCCAATATTGAGTGTGCAAGGCTCCACAAATGACTAAGCTTCACAATATTGCTGTGGATGTAGTGTGAAAATTGTCTATATATCAGGATGTTTTGGGTTAATATCAAGAGCAAGAGACAGAGATAGAAATGGACACTGCCATCATAAACCATAAGAAATCGTCATAATCAAAACATAGAACTTCTGCCTCATATTTACCTTGAAGTGAAAAAAATATCCACTGCATATCACCACTCAGACAATCCACAACACACAGCCAGATTTCTTAATGCCTGTTTTCTGTTTGTCATGAAGTGCAAATAAAGTGTGGGTGCAGGAGGGCTTGCCTCTCTGCCTAGGGAATAAGAAGGTAGCATGGGTTGGGTTTAATTTTTTTTGGTTTACATGATACCTCTGATTTGGGACTAAGCGTCTGTTTTCTTACTGGTGCTTCACTCCAGTACCCCTTCCTGATCGCTGTTTTCCCTATCAGGGGCTTTGCCCCCAGACCCCTTCCCAATTGCCATGTTTCCTTACAGGGGGGCTGTGCCCCCGGACCCCCTCCAAATAACCACTAGCTGTACATTGTAAGTTACAAATTGGATTCTTTATGGCTGAAGTGGAGGGGGCTTGGATATTATGAACTGAGGTATTTCTGCAGCTGGAACACGGTTATTGGTTTGTCACCAAATTTAACCCATTTACGACGGGTGTCCCACATATGAGACACCCGAAAAAAATGCTGGGCGTCCCACCGGTGTGATGCTGGATCGGAGCTTACGCTCTGGTTCCATTGCAGACTGCGGCAGGCGCACAGGCTGATTCCGGCCAGCCCTGCACACTGATTTTGAAGCCGCCCGGAAACCATTGATTTCAGCTTCAAAATATACTGGGGCCAGTGGGTTAATGTTATCCCCTAGACCAAAACATTTTCAGGAAGAGATTGTTTTCACCAGAAGTAGTACTATAAACCAACTTCCCTATTGGAACCAGCAGTAACAACTGCAGTAACAAAACTGTGAAATTTGCTGGTAGTTGGCTGTGCATGTGCAAGTATGGATGTAACAAGCATTTCTAATTTTTTTTAAATGTGTATGCAATAATGTAGAACACCTTATATATCTAAGAATTTAATTAATTCATATTACTCTATAATTTTATCTAAATCACAATACATACATTAAAAGTATAGTTTCATTTCTAAGATATTGACAATGATTGGTTGTGATGTCATGAGCTATATGTGCCAAGACAGTTAAAATTAGGTTACCACACAGCTAAGTTGTTCACTACAAAGTGAGGATGGTTAGACTTAGTCACTGGAAGTGCATGGGAACTTGATCTCCACATGGTGTTCGTCACTACCCATTTTCTTTATTTCTGATGTTATTCTTTGCCAGAGCAGATCATATTATACATCAGTGACTAGTTTTTACACATCTTTTTGGACCCCCTTAATCCCATGCGTGTTGTTGCCATGGGGGAGGCTTAGGAGACAGAGACTGGGGCCCAATGTGGGAGATCGCCCCTACATTGGACCTCAGCCCTCGCCTCAGCTAATTTTGCTTGGTCTTCTCTTCTCCACCTTTTGTCTTCCTCCTTCTTCATCTCCTCCCCCTGTCCACATCCCAAAGTGTGAGAGCCGGGCTGAAAGGATGAAGGTCCGGTTTTTTGTCAGTTCTGAACGGCCTTCATACTCAGTTTGCAATTCCCTCTTACCCCTTTCATTACCATACTAACCAAACCAATAGTGTTCTACAACCTTTGACATCCAACATATTTGTTCCTAATTTTTAGCTAATTTTTTACCTTTTTATCACAGTATTTTCCTTACCTGGGGAAATTACCCCCAAGTCTCGCGATATTTTTATATTTTTTATACGCTGCTAATGACCTTACATGCTGACGTGGCGTTAGGCATTGTTAGTTCAGACTTTGATGTTAATGATCATTCAACCTTATTTTTAAAAAGTCCTTCCAATTTTTCTTGTTCTTTTTAGACAACCATAATTTTTCTTTATCTCTACATGGTCTTCTTTTTCTTTTCTTCCAATATTAACCAAAATCATTGATTGAAAAACTAATACATTAGCTGTAATATGTATGTCAGTATCTTGCTGTGCCTATATTATGGTATAACTTAATCCTTTTTCTTGCCAGGTTTGTCACTTGATCCAGCCAAGCGCTACGCAAAGGTTGTAGATGATGCCTTCCATATATCAGCTGCCGTGCTCGACACCACCTCTGTTACAGATGATGAAATTATCAGGGTGAGTGTCTTGGGACAGTTCCTTTTTATGATTACTTTCTTGTTTCTGCTTTATAAATGCCATAACCTTCATAGTTATTATATTTGTTCTTATTTGAATATTTTACATCATTTTTATCATTAGTTATCCGTTATGATGGATCAGCGGCACCGTCATTGTTGCTTTCATTATCTCATCTGCCACTGTATTACGTTGCAAAAACTTTTTTCTTCTTCTTCTTCTTCTTCTTCTAAACATCTTTTACCTGTTGAATCTAGTTTTGCGGCATGTAGGCTGAGTGCACACAAACACTCATGAGCAGTGACAATACTCTGTGCCTCTCCTTTGCAAATTTATTTTACATAAACCTTTTTTTTTTTTTTTTTTTTGCCATTTTCCATTGTTCATATTTTTCTTTTAATTTGCTTAATCCAGATGGTAATAGCTTATTTCCTTGCACAGATTCCATATCATCACTCTATGTAGTAAATAATAATTAAAAGAAAAGAAAATGAAACATTTGGTTATTTGTCATATATCTTAGTTTTTCTTAATTCAATGCACAGCATGGAAATGGCATCCTCCCTGGAGCCAGCACTCTTCCAGTTATCGCTTATGCATCATACATTCTGCATTTGTTTATCGATGGAAATAATGCCAAAGCCCCTTTCTAAGCACCAAATGAATCTAATCACACTCCAAGAGGTTTGTACACTTGTGGCAAGTCTTTTCCATCACCCTGGCCTTCACTCATGACGACAAGTTTGCATCACCCTGCCCGCAGCCATTTTGTCCAGTGCACATGACTCTGTCCTCGACCCAGATTTTTCCATGATGGGACCATAACGTTATCAGGATCGTAGGAGTTAAAATGATAGAAAGCAGCAAGAAAGGCTTAGATACATATTTTCTGTAAAACAAAACTAAAAACTTTAACCATTTCAAACTACCACAAAAATTAACATGTCCTCTCCCACACAGGTCATGGTAGAAGTGGAAGGCTATGAGACACTCATCTGCAATCTGAGCAAAAAGTTGGGCATCTTGCAATGCCCACTTGACTTGCAGTTCATGGAGGGCAGCCGCATTGCCTTCTACACCCTGGGAGGTAAGGGTGTCGTCCACCTCTCGGGGTACGTCATTCCTGACTTGGAGGATGAGCTGGATGAGGAGGAAGAGGTAGAGGAAGAAGAGGAAAATAGTGATGAGGGTAAGGAATTGCTGTGTACACAATAAACTTTGGTATGTGTGTGTGTGTGTATATATATATATTGTGTGTGTGTGGAAAATGAGAGGAAGATGTATACAACCAAGATTAACCAAGAGATGGTAGAGGGAGAGGGATAAGCAAATGACATCAAATAAATAAAGGATCTACATTTCAGAAACGCCAGCCCTTGTGCCGATAAACAAGAAGAGAAAGCAACTGGAAATCAAAGGAACAGATGCAAAGAAAGCGAAAGTGTTGCTGGGTGAGTAGAGGAAATAGACTCCTTTTCACTAAATGGCGACATTGGGTGACCTTTCATGCACAGTAAAGACCAGTTTGATAGCTTCTGCAATATTTACAGGTATGGATGAGTTTGTAGATGGCGAAGAGGATGGGGATGATGACGATGATGACGACGATGAGGAGGATGAAGACAGTGATGAAGAAGGAGAGGAAGAGGAAGAGGAGGAAGATGATGATGAGGATGATGATGACGATGATGAACCGGATGAAGAAGAGAAAGAGATGATGGAACAAATGAAAGGTAGTAATTTGAAGCTTTTAAGCTTTTGCACGTTAACTCACTGCTGCCGAGAACATTTGCTGTCCGCTGTAGTTTCATTTTGTAAATTTTGTTAGCACACAAATGGCTCCATAAGTGATAGGCCATATGTAAAGTCACCTGGTTTCTTAATTCTTTGTTTTAATCTAATGTTTATTATTGATACAGTTATTGTTATTATTGT